TCTTTACTAGATGTTGATCTTCTACTAATCTCACTGCAACTCCCCTCCATGTCTCCGACCACTACTTTGTATCCTTTTCTCTCTCGCTCTCATCCAACACTACTCACTCTGCCCCTACACAGATGGTAACGCGCCGCCGCAATCTTCACTCTCTCTCTCCCACTACTCTCTCCTCTTCCATCCTATCATCTCTTCCCTCTGCTCAATCCTTCTCCCTCCAATCTCCTGATTTTGCCTCCTCAACCCTCCTCTCCTCCCTTTCTGCATCCTTTGACTCCCTGTGTCCCCTATCCTCCCGGCCGGCTCGGTCCTCCCCTCCAGCTCCGTGGCTTGATGACTCATTGCGAGCTCACAGAACAGAGCTCCGGGCAGCTGAGCGGAAATTGAAGAAAACTAAACTCCCTGCCGACCTGGCATCTTTTCACTCCCTCCTCTCTACATTTTCTTCATCTGTTTCTGCTGCTAAGGCCACTTTCTACCACTCTAAATTCCAAGCATCTGCCTCTAACCCTAGGAAGCTCTTTGCCACATTCTCCTCACTGCTGAATCCCCCCCCCCCCCCCCTCCCTCTCTGTGGATGACTTCGTCAACCACTTTGAAAAGAAGGTTGACGACATCCAATCCTCGTTTGTTAAGTCTAATGACACTGCTGGTCCTGCTCACACTGCCCTACCCTATGCTTTGACTTCTTTCTCCCCTCTCTCTCCAGATAAAATCTTGCGACTTGTGACTGCAGGCCGCCCAACAACCTACCCGCTTGACCCCATCCCCTCCTCTCTTCTCCAGACCATCTCCGGTGACCTTCTCCCCTACCTCACCTCGCTGATCAACTCATCCTTGACCGCTGGCTATGTCCCTTCCGTCTTCAAGAGAGCGAGAGTTGCACCCCTTCTCAAAAAACCAACACTCGATCCCACTGATGTCAACAACTACAGACCAGTATCCCTTCTTTCTTTTCTTTCCAAAACTATTGAGCGTGCCGTCTTTAGCCAACTCTCTTGCTATCTCTCTCAGAATGACCTTCTTGATCCAAACCAGTCAGGTTTCAGGACTGGTCATTCAACTGAGACTGCTCTTCTCTGTGTCACGGAGGCTCTCCGCACTGCTAAAGCTAACTCTCTCTCCTCTGCTCTTGTCCTTCTAGACCTGTCTGCTGCCTTTGATACTGTGAACCATCAGATCCTCCTCTCCACCCTCTCCGAGCTGGGCATCTCCGGCGCGGCTCACTCCTGGATTGCGTCCTACCGGACCGGTCGCTCCTACCAAGTGGCGTGGCGAGAAGCTGTCTCCGCACCACGTGCTCTCACCACTGGTGTCCCCCAGGGCTCAGTTCTAGGCCCTCTCCTTTTCTCCCTATACACCAAGTCACTTGGCTCTGTCATATCCTCACATGGCCTCTCCTATCATTGCTACGCTGACGATACACAACTAATCTTCTCCTTTCCCCCTTCTGATAACCAGGTGGCGAATCGCATCTCTGCATGTCTGGCAGACATATCAGTATGGATGACGGATCACCACCTCAAGCTGAACCCTGGCAAGACGGAGCTGCTCTTCCTCCCGGGGAAGGACTGCCCGTTCCATGATCTCGCCATCACGGTTGACAACTCCGTTGTGTCCTCCTCCCAGAGTGCGAAGAGCCTTGGCGTGACCCTGGACAACACCCTGTCGTTCTCCGCTAACATCAAGGCGGTGACCCGATCCTGCAGGTTCATGCTCTACAACATTCGGAGAGTACGACCCTGCCTTACACAGGAAGCGGCACAGGTCCTAATCCAGGCACTGGTCATCTCCCGTCTGGATTACTGCAACTCGCTGTTGGCTGGGCTCCCTGCCTGTGCCATTAAACCCCTACAACTCATCCAGAATGCCGCAGCCCGTCTGGTGTTCAACCTTCCCAAGTTCTCTCACGTCACCCCCCTCCTCCGCACACTCCACTGGCTTCCAGTTGAAGCTCGCATCCGTTACAAGACCATGGTGCTTGCCTATGGAGCTGTGAGGGGAACGGCACCTCTGTACCTTCAGGCTCTGATCAGTCCCTACACCCAAACGAGGGCATTGCGTTCATCCACCTCTGGCCTGCTGGCTCCCCTTCCTCTGCGGAAGCATAGTTCCCGCTCAGCCCAGTCAAAACTGTTCGCTGCTCTGGCACCCCAATGGTGGAACAAGCTCCCTCACGACGCCAGGACAGCGGAGTCACTCACCACCTTCCGGAGACATTTGAAACCCCACCTCTTTAAGGAATACCTGGGATAGGATAAAGTAATCCTTCTACAGACATATTTAGGAGACTTACAACATTCACCACCCACTCTACCTCACTCTGAGGCTCCATAATAAAACAGTTAATCCAGTAATATACACCACAACCTCAAGCAGAGAAATTAAGCAGCAGACTTAACAGTTAATTGTAAACTATTTACGTTTTATAGGAATTTGCGGTCGGAGAGTGATGGTGGGAATCACGTCCAGGGGTGCACTCACTGTTGCTGGCTCTCGAGGAACAGAGGGGGAGACTGGGAGAAAAGACAGGAAGAATGCTATCTCTCGCACTATATGTCTTAGAGGCTGGGTCTCCTCATAGAAACTTCATGAAATCGTACTGGAAAAATACTGTGGTCTTGGTTGGGGGACTAATGTTAAACTCCTAACCTGGTCCCAGATCTGTTTGGGCTGTTTGCCAACTTCTATGGCCATTGTCATGCCAATAACCATAGGAGTTAGCAAGACAGCACAAACAGATCTGGAACCACACTAAGGAGCTCTTTTCGAGGACCTTTCTGACGGGGTCGGCCTGCTGTAAAAAAAGGCCCCGCAATGGTCAGGGCCAGGGGAGACAGGACCAGAGTCCTGAACTCAGCCACTGTCCAGCAGGTTTATGTCACTGCTGTTATTTTTACAGGGTCATATTAAAAACCAAACAGGCCATAGATCTGCCACAACAAGGGCATTCCGAAATCCCTGACCCTTGGCGAATCCTCTTATCCTCCTCTTGTCCTCCCACTCTAGCATCTACTTGTTATGACTCACAATCTTCATTCTACTATTTACCCCTTACAATAATTCACCAGGCATTTGGGCTTGTAGTGATAAATACTAGCGGGAATTACACTAGGTGCTGATTAGTCAGAATCTACGCAGACATTATTTAACCCGTAAATCCTGAAGTGCTGTCTGTGTTTTAGTAATTAGACTCATGTTAGTGGGCTAGTATATCACAGTGGCCCCGAGGCGGACCCCTAACAGTAGGGTCATTAGAGATGAAAATGACAAACAAGTGGGTGACATAATGTGGAAACACTGAACCCATTCAGAGGTTTCTTCATCACTCGCTGGGCAAATCTCACACATATTAACCACATTCTTTGTGGTCATGGGGGATAGAGCACAGACAGTGCAACACAGAAAAAAAGATGGTTTGTGGAATATCCCTCTTCCTTCTTGAGCTTTTTCCACAGTATTTCCAAAGCGGGAGTCTGCGTGAGATTAGGGATTAGGGACATGGTGCCACTGTGGCTTTACCTGGTCTCTCCTTGGATTATTGTATCAGGAAGTGGAGGGAGAGAGAGCGGTGTTCCCCAAGGAGGTGTTGTGACCCCCTTATCCTCTCCACGGAACACTGTGGCCATGAAACCACTTCACTGAGGAGAAGAGCATGCTTTCAATTCGCGTGACAGTACATTGAATGTATGAACAATAACTATTTTTGTGCGAGAGAGATGGGGAGTGTGTAATTTCCGACTTGGTTCTGGTTCATGCACTGTGGCCCCACACGTTTTTATGTATATTACCTATAAACGGAAACATGGCCAGGGGAACATGAGAGTAAAGATGGGAGGACAGAGATCCACTCAGGTGTCCATCAACAGAGGCATTTGTCACTGATGTTTGTCATTGAGGTTATTTGAAACCATTGATTTGGATATGAATCATAATGGGGGTCTGGACCCCAGCAGGAAACATAAAGAACTGATGTTCGTAAAACACAAACATATGATCTGTTAGTGTTAAACAACTTCTTTGGCAAAGGCAGGCCTACATTACAGTGACCAAAGTAATTTGAAGCATCAAAACTGCGGCCAAGACATATAAACTGACTAGTACAGTGACCTGGGTTTGTTATGGAGCTCTTCCTGGTTGCAAGCCTGGCATTGTGCAGCATGCGACTCGACAGACCAGACAGGACGATCCCAGTGATGGATGCCGATGATTAAAAAGTCCATATAAAGCTAATGTGGTGTGGTGTATACTCAGTGTCTCTGTAGCAGGATGTTGGCATCTGCCTTGGTCTGCTTGAAGAAAGATTGCCAAAGTTGATATATTAAAGTCACAGTAAAAAATGTAATGTAAAACTTTCAACACAATACAACTTTAAGGATTTACTTGGCTGAATGGCTTATTTGGTTGTCTTAGCACTGATTTTTATTTGATTCTCCTCACATAAATTAAAGTTAAAGCTACTTTTAAAACTCACCCTGAAAAATGACATTAATAACAATATACACACATAATAGCATTATAATATACATTTTAAGCCCCTCAGTTTAGTGTGCATATCCTTAGGACTAAGGGTTTAGTTATATAATCTTTGTTAGGACATTCAGCATCAGGAACTTACAGGAGCCTGACTCATCATACCCAAATACCTATCACATAGTACCTTCAACATCAGGGTAGGAGTGCCTGGGTACTTGTCAAAATGTGTGCAACCGTGCCACCTGCTGTTTAATTGCGAATGTTGCAACAACCTCATCTGATAATTTCAACAAAAGTTTGATGTTGTGTATTTTGTTGATATGAATAATGAGACTAACGGAAATTCTTAACTTATATTAATATTTGGTCATCACTCATTTCACCCACCATAATATCAAGAGAGCTCACCATAATACTCACCATAATATCATTGGTTTGATTTGTACTACATATGGTAGCCTACCGAGAGAGAAGAAATAGCGAATCTTCTGAAATGAAAAGTGAGGTAGCACTTCCTGTATACCCACGTGTTTTACAAAGAAATAATTTTGAGGCGTTTGCATCTTGGCTTTGTAGTTAGCCAGGCAGTTTATTGTTTTAGGAAGAACTGTCTACATTATTGATTTTTACTTTGAAAGTTGTCACTATGTCATCGTTTAGAAAGGCATTGAAGTCCCAACAAAAAAATCACAAAGAAAGATCCCAGGTAAGGATGAGATAGTTGTTGCGTTAGCTAGCTACTACCGCTAGCTTCGTAACGTTAGTTTTCCAGGTAGCAATGCTATTGTTGTTTGTTCAGCTACAAATGTGTAAAGTATTGACTGGTGTGATTGGTAGTTGTTGACATGTAGGATTATGTTGCTAACTAGCTAATGACAATGTGCATTTGGTACTGCAATAACTAACGTTATAGCTAACTAATAATCTGTTTCATTTTGTGTCACAGCCTGGTTTCAGAAAACATCTGGGACATCTTGAAAAGAAAAAGGACTACAAACTTCGTGCAGAGTAAGTCCATCTAATTCATGGATATTCAAATAACACGTATTCACCTTTGCTGAACTGTCACATGAGCTACACTAGCGGGTCCACATTCAGGTTTGATTTGGTTGCCGATTTTATGCGCTTTGTTCTGACATTTTCAGTGACTATCACAAGAAACAGAACACCCTTGCTGCTTTGCGTAAAAAAGCCTTGGACAAGAACCCTGATGAGTTCTATTTCAAGATGGTTAGCTCTCAGCTGAAGGTGAGTCACCACTTTTGGCATGTTGCTTAGCCTGGTCCCAATCTGTGCTGTCTTGTCAACTCCTCTGGTCATTGTCTAGCCAAACACAATGGAGCAAGACCGCACAGATCTGGGACCAGATTATACAAGAGTAGCCTGGTTCCAGATCTGTTTGTGCGCTTGTCAACTTCATTGCTCATTGTCAAGTGTGATAATCAGTTCGTATAATGGCACAAACAGACGGGCACTGAGGCTAATACAAGAGCTAGCCTACATATGGTCATTTCAAGTTTGACTGTTTTACCATGTCCATTTTTTATCCTTGCTGGTATGAGAATGAAAGTAAAATATGATAGACTAATGGTTGTGCCATTTCTGTCTGATAATAAAATTCCCTCTCATCTCTGGACCTATTGTGTTCTGAAAGGATGGAGTGCATGTGGCGAATAAGGCTAAAGGAACAGAGGAGGAGAATACAGAGGAACAGAGGAAGGTGATGAGGACACAGGACATCAGATATGTAGAGATGAAGCGAGTGGCTGAGGGCAAGGTAAGAGCTCAGTGTGGTGCCTTGTAAACTGGAATAAACTGTTCCTTATGTTCTTGAATGGCCTTATTTCCATTTTAGCTGTATGAATAGATAAATGAATGGGCTGTGAATATGTACAGTGTGAAATTGTGAGGGAATCTATGCCAGTCAGCACAAATAAGAGCCTATGAAAAGCAATTTAACAACATCAACTGTTTTGTTTTCATTTATCCTGTGGAGTGCAACGTGCAGACTCAGTTGTCTTCTTGTACTCCCTCCGTTCAATCACTGAAGTTGTCAATGGTGGTATACAGTGGTGGTGAAAGTGCAGGCTTAAGTGTTTTTTGAATTGCCTTCAGAAAATTGAGAGGTTGAAATCGGAACTCCATCTCTTGGACGCTGACGGCAAACAGAAAAACGGGCACACCTTCTTCATGGACTCAAAGCAAGAAGGTAGAGGAATACATTAATACAAACACCAAGCAAAGTATATACACACTGGGCGGTGTTATTTTGTAGTATTGCATTGCTTTGGATATTTCATACAGAAGGCCATTAACTCCCACTTTCATCATACATTTGACATTCTTGTACACCTAGGAATCAGGGCCCATATTCATAAAGCGTCTAAGAGTAGGAGTGGCAATCTAGGATCAGGTCCCACTGTTCATGTAATGTAATTCATTACGATGTAAAACTGATCCTAGATCAGCACTCTCAATCTGAGACGCTTTATGAATATAGGCCCAATTATTTTGAAGTTAAAGGAAAAATGTCTGATCTAGCGGCTGTATTTCTGCCTGCTTGGACGGCAAATAACTCAGATACACATGAAAACATGAAATTACCAATAGAATCGATAGAACATCGCTCAGAGATGCACAAATACGATATAACATTCAAAATGGGTGAATCTTTCCTTTATCTGACGACTGTTTTTAAAGACCATCTGTAACTGACAGCCCTGATATCTCCTGGTTTTGTGTTCCACTACAGTAGCAGACTTTGACCTGGCCAGCCACCTGGACACAGCTCCTGAGCTGGTGGACAGAGTGTACAACCGGCCCACCCTCCATACGCTGGAGAGCAAGACCATCCAGGGCACCGTGGAGCCTCTCAGTATAAAGGTCAGTCAGGACAGACCCTGTCCCTGTGTAGCCTAATAGCCACACTGTTCCTCAACACTGGGTACATTCGTTTTAGCTCGCCCAGGGTACTGGGTGGGTGGAGTTTGCACATTTTAGACCATTCCATTCTCTCATTCAAGGTGATAAAGGTAACGTCCTCAACATAGGAATGACTAATATCAATATTCAGACTATGGTGTCACTGCAGAATAATAAAAAGGAAGGTTCTAAGTAACATCATACCAACGTTTGCAGTATGTTGACCACAGCCCCATATTGCACCTAGCAAAGGACTTCCACCACCTTCGGAACAGGTGTTGGGTTAAGAATAAAATTATTGAATTTGTGTTTAAATGTCAATGCCCCTGTGTTTTAAATCATATTTGTTCACATTTGTGTGAATTTAAGATTTTCACTTATGATAATGCTATACTTGCCCTAGACATAGCTAGTGATGGTGTGTGGTTATTCAACTCTCTACACAGTATTTCTCTGTGACATGTATTGATGGTTGTGTATGTTTTCTTCTCTGCAGAAGTTGGCCAAACAGAGGAGGCACCAGTATAAGATTCTGTCCCAGCGGATTGACAGGGAGAAGAAGATGTTTGTCATTGGCCAGAAGATCCAGACCCGCAAAGACCTACACGTGAGTAGGAGCCTAGGAGATGACTACAAGCTACATAAGCTTAATGATTCGCAATGCTTAAGACGGTGGTTGGGAAAGACATGGATTTTCCCATGATAATTGTATTGATGGGGTATTTCTAGGTGCTTCACATGTTAGCAAAGCCAAAGGTACATTTCCCCCTTCTGGTGGACAAGTTGTGCGTAATTCTTTTAAACTGTGTTCTGTTCTATTCCATCCGATTCTATCCACTGTCCAAAAGGGGCATCTACTTCTAGAAAGAACAGCCTGCTTGTTAACTATATAGGAGGTTTCTTTGATCCTCATTGTGGTTGTGTGTCTCCCACAGAATAAGATGACACATTAAATAATAGAATGTTAAACAGTATTACCATCTCTATGGTGTCTCCTCTCTGTCCAGGATAAGAACAAGAAGGTGAAGGTGAGCAAAGAGACGGTCAATGCCGCTGCCGTCTACAAGTTTGAAGCTAAGAGGAAGCGCTGAGAAAGATAAACCCCTTTGAACAGGAAACGCATCATCAACCAGACATTTCTGTGGCCTGTTATACAATCACCAGTCGGTCTCCATCGGACAGTAATGTGGACATTGCGCAATTCATGTGGATATGGACAAGTGAAATGGTCAAGGAATACCCTCTCAATTGTTGTTGGAGGCATAGATTGATCTCTATGGTTGCAGCAATGCAGAGTTTTTGTACATATTTATCAAAGGATATAAGTTTGATTATTGTATGAATAAATTGTTTTGAGACATTTCTAAAGCCTCATTCTGGTGTATATATATGTCAAGTGTCATTTTATAGGTTCATATGAGTGTTTATCAATCTCATGCTGTGCAGTTATACTACCAGTAGATGGCACTAGTGTACTTCATCAATGTACATGTAACTGCCAAAATAACGGGAACACGAGTCAAAATGATAAGGGATACAAAGTATATTGAAAGCTGGTGCTTCCACACAGTTGTGGTTCCTGATTTTATTAAGCAATTAACATCACATCATGCTTAAGGGCATGTATAATAATACTGGGCAGGCCATTATTCTGGGCATTATTTTGGCTACCATGGCTATGCCCCCATAGGATGACAATGCCCCCATCCACAGTGCACAAGTGGTCACTTGATGGTTTGATGAACATGAAAACTATGTAACCCATATGCCATGACCGTCTCAGTCACCAGATCTCAACCCAATTGAACAGTTATGGGAGATTCTGGAGTGGCGCCTGAGGCAGAGTTTTCCACCACCATCAACAAAACAAAATTATATAAATTATTGTTGAAGAATGGTGTCGCATCCCTCCAATAGAGTTCCAGACACTTGTAGAATCTATGGCAAGGTGCATTGAAGCTGTTCTGGCTCGTGGTGGCCCAACGCCCCATTAAGACACTTTTATTTTGGGGTAACCTTTATTTTGGCAGTTACGTGTACATTGTTTAAGTGGGGATGAGAGGGTCTAGATGGCAAATTTGAAGTAAGTACAGTTGTGCTTAACCTGCTATCGCCGCTCAGGACTACTCAATTCAAGAACGTTATAGTGTAGTTAGTATTTTCTTTGCGTAGTTTAAAGACCAATTATGATTTACATAACATTATAAGACTAATTAGAATTGTCATTGATATACATAGGTCCAGTTTTTATAGCTGACATTATACCTGTGAAAAGTATTTTTCCCCTTTCTGATTTTCTCTATTTTTGCATAATTTGGACACTGAATGTTCAGATCTTCAACCAAAATATAATATTAGAGAAAGGGAATCAGAGTGAATAAATAACACAATGTTAATAATGATTTTATTTAATTAACCAAGTTATGCAACACCCAAATCCCCTGTGTGAAATATGTATTGCCCCTTTACACTTCAGCTCCGCTATAAGCGTTGCTTTGCTATCAGCGTCGTGTCAATGTGACGTTCTACCTGCTACACAGCGTGTTGTTTTGAGAGTGGAGAGGAGCAAAGGGGAGAGAGTCTTTATTTTATTTCCCCCTACTGTACTGTACCATATTCATCGATTATGCGTGAGTACAATAGCTTTGGTCCAGTTTTTCACAAATATTAATGAAATTGTTGGTAGTGGTTGTACTAAACGATCCTCTAATTTCACAAGTTGCTTTTGTTTAAATTGTGAACCTAGCTAGTCAATGTAGCTAGCTACAGTGCCTTCAGAAAGTATCACACCCCTTGACTTTTTCCACATTTTGTTGTTTTACAGCCTGAATTTAAAATGATTGAATGTATACCCTTTGGCTGTGGCCTACACACAATACCCCATAATGTCAAAGTGGAATTATGTTTTTTGAAATGTTCACAAATGTAATTAAAAATGAAAAGCTGAAATGTTTTGAGTCAATAAGTATTCAACCCCTTTGTTATGGCAACCCTATATAGGAGTAAACATTTGCATAACAAGTCACAAGTTGCATGGACTCACTCTATGCAGTAATAGTCATTCAAAAATTATGTTAATCTCTGTACCCCACACACACAATTATATTCAAGGTCCCTCAGTCGAGCAGTGAAGTTCAAAAACAGATTCAATCACAAAGATTTTCCAATGCCTTGCAAAGAAAGGCACCTATTGGTAGATGGGTAAAACATTTTTAGCAGACATTGAATATCCCTTTGAGCATTAACTTATTAATTACACTTTGGATGGTGTATCAATACACCCAGTCACTACAAAGATACAGGCGTCCTTCCTAACTCAGTTGCCAGAGAGGAAGGAAACAGCTCAGGGATTTCACTGTGTGGCCAATGGTGACTTTAAAACAGTTAGTTTAATGGCTATAATAGAGGAAAACTAAGGATGGATCAACAACATTGTAGTTACTCCAAAATACTAACCTAAATCACAGAGTGAAAATAAGGAAGCCTGTATAGATTAAAAACATGCATCCTGTTTTAAACAAGGCACGAAAGTAATACTGCAAAAAATGTGGGAAAGCAATTCACTTTTTGTACTGAATACAAAGTGTTATGTTTGTGGCAAATCCAGTACAACACATTACTGAGTACCGCTCGCCCTATTTTACATTTTATATTTTAGTCATTTAGCAGACGCTCTTATCCAGAGCGACTTACAGTTAGTGAGTGCATATATTATTTATTCATACTGGCCCCCAGTGGGAAGCGAACCCACAACCCTGGCATTGCAAACGCCATGCTCTACCAACTGAGCTACATCCCTGCCGACCCCATGGGTCTCCTGGTCGCGGCCGGCTACGACAGAGCCTGGATTCGAACCAGGATCTCTAGTGGCACTTCATGACACTTGCTAGGCTCATAATCTGAGGTAGCAACTGCGTCAGATCTACAAATCCATTAGCTAGACCACCCGATTAGACAAATCACCCCATTATACCCATTTGGTTTGCAACTCCGTGAACCTGCGCAGCATTCGCTCAATTTGATGCCTACGAACGAAGATTTCGATGCATATAAAATTACCCAGCAGCCATTTAGAAACAACAAGTCGTCAATTTTTATTTAAATTTCTTAATAACATTTTTTATTCTGGCTGTTTAAATCGGCCACATCTTGAAAAAGAGGACAGGGACATGCGTTTTGTTTAGATTGTAGACTTTTTTCTTAAAACAAATATGGTTAACCATGACCAGGAAATGTTTAATGTTTGATGGCTATCCGCCAGCCATCGCCTCTTAAACTGTGTCTCACTTCACTATTGGTGACCACAACATGTAGTCAGGTGAACAGTGTGCGCGCTCACCAAGTAGCCATAACCTTGTTAATAATATGTTACCTGAGGTAAACCTACAGGGTTACCGCAGGCAGGTCTCATTGATAATAATAGTGAAGCTGGCATTGTGACGCAGAACAATGGGCTGGGAATATAATGTTCTGAAGGCGAGTCGGTGCCACGGAGCTCAATAGAACTAATAGGAGCTGGTAGGGTGAAAAATGCCCAAACATAAGGCCTGTTTTTTTGCGATTACTTCATAACCAGGGACAGAAGGCAATATTATGAAACTGGGTTCCATGGCGGATGCAATAAACTAATTTTATCAGAAATAAACGTTGTAAAAAATGTAACTTGAGGTGCCCCGAAAATAATATTCAAAAGTTCAGTCCTTGGACACAGAGGGGTTAAACGGTAAAGTTACCGTCCATCTAGTGAAGAAAGGAGAACCGGACAGAGGCCAGCATCCGTCAACGAGAGAGGGAGAAGCCCTCCCCGGTATTTAACAGGTGGAAGAAACAACCCGGGAGCTCCATCGGTCCACAAGAAATGCAGGCAGCCGGTGATGATGTAGTGGTAGCTAGGATAACTAGGATGCTGCTGGTAGAGTAGCTAGCTTAGCTAGCTGTAACGACTAGCTTGGCTAGCTAGCAGGTCGTTCGTCTGTCCCTCGAGGATGATGACGAATCCAGTGAACCACACAATTAAACAAGAATAGTGAGTGAAAAGGATCTGACCGTATCGCAAAAAGCAAATTGAACAATAAACTTCGGTGTCTCAACACTATAGCGAACTCAGTTGTTATTCCCCAAGATCACCTCAGACCCCTCTGTGCGTAACTGGACAATATGCGAAGCATAGTGGTGGCTTCGTCATGTTATGGGTATGCTTGTATTCGTTAAGGATAAAAATGAAACGAAATGGAGCTAACTACAGGCAAAATCCTAGAGGAAAACCTGGTTCAGTCTGCTTTCCACCAGACACTGGGAGATTAATTCACCTTTCAGCAGGACAACAACCTAAAACACAAGGCCAAATCTACACTGGAGTTGTTTACCAAGAAGACATGTCCCTGAGTGGCTGAGTTACAGTTTTGACTTAAATCTGCTTGAAAATCTATGGCAACACCTGAAAATGGTTGTCTAGCAATGATCAACAACCAATAAACAGCTTGGACAATTCCAAAAATTATGTAATGGCTTAAGAAGCTTCTGGTAGGCTAATTGACATAATTTGAGTCAATTGGAGGTGTACCTGTGGATGTATTTCAAGGCCTACCTTCAAACTCAGTGCCTCTTTGCTTGACATCATGGGAAAATCAAAATAAATCAGCCAAGACTTCAGAAAGAAAACATGTAGACCTCCACAAGTCTGGTTCATCTTTGGGAGCAATTTCCAAATGCTTGAAGGTACCACATTCATCTGTACAAAAAATAGTATGTAAGTATAAACACCATGGGACCACGCAGCCGTCATACCGCTCAGGATGGAGACTCGTTCTGTCTCCTAGAGATGAACGTACTTTGGTGTGAAAAGTACAAATCAATCCCAGAACAACAGCAAAGGACCTTGTGAAGATGCTGGAGGAAACAGGTAACAACAGGTACAAAATTCTCTATATCCACAGTAAAACGAGTCCTATATCGACATAACATGAAAGGCCGCTCAGCAAGGAAGAAGCCACTGCTCCAAAACCGCCATAAAAAAGCCAGACTACTGTTTGCAACTGCACATGGGGACAAAGATCGTACTTTTTGGAGAAATGTCCTCTGGTCTGATGAAACAAAAATATAACTGTTTGGCCAAAAACCCCTACAACTCATCCAGAATGCCGCAGCCCGTCTGGTGTTCAACCTTCCCAAGTTCTCTCACGTCACCCCGCTCCTCCGCACACTCCACTGGCTTCCAGTTGAAGCTCGCATCTGCTACAAGACCATGGTGCTTGCCTACGGAGCTGTGAGGGGAACGGCACCTCCGTACCTTCAGGCTCTGATCAGTCCCTACACCCAAACGAGGGCACTGCGTTCATCCACCTCTGGCCTGCTGGCTCCCCTACCTCTGCGGAAGCATAGTTCCCGCTCAGC